GGGTTCATGTATAGAATCCTATAAGGTAACCCCAAAAAGGAACTACTATGGGGCTTATGGGTAGAGTTTAAACGAAGTACACTGAGGATTTGGGTTCTGCAGCTTGGGACTTCTCTACTTAGAGGTTCATGGGACTTAGTAACTAGCCCTTATTTTGAAGGGACTCATATTTTAAGGCTTTTGGGCTCAAAGACCCTATTATAAAGGGCTTTTGAGCTATTTTGATGCTAAGGGTAGGGTTATAAATAATGTAACTAGACGTATAATTACTTATAACCCCAATTAGGGTACCTATAGCCTTACTTACTAAGTCCCGTGAACCTCTAAGTAGAATCTCTGACATGAGTAGCCCATAGTACTGACCCATGCTTCTTCACCTTGGGGCGGGCATGCGCTCGGCATTGGCCCCGGAGGAGGGGGCACTGGAGGTACTGAGGCCATCTCTGCGTGCCTCCCAATCTGCCAACTCCGCCATGTACGACGCATGGCTTTGACTATCCCGACGAGGGCCAGCACTCGCTGGGCTGCACCACCGGAGGTGGTGTGGGTGGAGCATCGCTACCCTTGCCGCTCTTCCCCTTCCCTGGGAGCCAACTTTGGGCTTTCTGAGACAATCCTCCTGCCTCGTTTGGGTTTGCGGCATATGAAGCCACCCTAAACTCTAAACCCTGCCCCTCAACACTCTAATTTAGTCATTCGCCGGAGCCCTCCATTGTCAAACGCTGAAAATGCTGGAAGAGCCCCAACGACGATTGTGTGTAGTCTAGGGCACTTCATATCCATCTGAATCTCTTTTGTTTTTTTGGGGATTTCTATCTTATAACTACATGAGCAGAGTAAGTGGATGTTTCTTAGTAAGTGGATGTTTCTTGATTCACCAGGCCACTGTGTTGAATCTGCTTGGTTGGCAATCGCCTCCCATGAATGCCTTGAGCTGAGAGCATTTCCTTGTGAAGGGTTCAGGGTTTAGGATTTAAAGAGTATCTAGCTACATTCATTCTGGGATTATAGCCATATGGCAAGCTATCAAAAAAAAGTTCCATTCTTTTGGTTCTAGGTATGCTACAAGAAATTCTCGTAGGATATCAGAACTGTTGCCTTAGATAACGAGCTCAGCAATATCACCACTTAGTGCCACTGACAATGCTGCTAAGCCCAGCGAACACCGTAGTGTGATATTAGTTCTAATCTCTTACCGGGGCGACTATAGCAAACATTTGCAACTGCAGGGAAGCTCGAATGTACTGTGAAGCGCATTCAACTCTCGATAAAGTACGGTCTAATCCCCTATACCCAAACCTTGCACCCCTACGAGCTCTGAAGCATAATGAAAACCCAAACCCTGCATCCTATGTAGAACATGAAGCCCCCTCTTGGAACTTCCAAGCTCTAGACCCGTACGCCTTAATATAGGGGTCTCAATAATTACCTACATTATTCTGGTGGCTCCTTATAACAATTATAGTAGAATGAGCCCCAAAACCCTATTCTAATTATTAATGCCCCTATATTAAACCTTTCAACCCCAACCCTAAACCCTAAACCCTAAACCCTAGGCATGTCCTTGGCGCGCTCCTCGGACAAGAAGAGCTGCTCCTGCTATGGTTGGAGGCTGGCCCTGTTTAGAGTTCAGCTAGGGTTTAGGGTTTAGGGTTTAGGGTGTAAGGTTTCGGGTTTAGGTGCAGGGTGTACCTGTCGCCACAACAGAAGCTACAGTTTCGGTGGTTCTTCCGCTGGGTTGGTTCCTCAGAAATGTAAGTTACTTTTTCGTATGAAGTTTAGGGCAGCCCCAAATCCCTAATTTCGAGTCCTTTTTATTTCCCCACATGACTCTTCGAGAAGTCAGCTTTTTTCCCGGGGTGCATGTAGACCCTCACCCTAAACCCTAAACCCTAAACCCTAAACCCTAAACCCTAAACCCTAATGCCCCAAGCAAGGCCTTCTAGCCCCAAGCCTTCTCGCAACCCGAAGCCCTAAACACTGCAATATAGGGGCCTTAATAATTTTAATAGGGTTTCTGCGCCCATTATACTACAATTACAATAAGAAAACCACCCGAAATAGCACATATGTAGTTATTATGAAGGCCCCTATATGAAGCCCTACAGATCTAAACCCTAAACCCTAAACCCTAAACCCTCTCCTGCGTACGGCGCCATATGCGAATCTGCTTGTCAGAGCCGGCTGTGACGATGAAGGCGGCATCCTCGAGACAGCCGGAGAAAGCTGTTCCGCTTTTGGTTTAGGGATTTATATAGGGTTTAGGAGTTTAGGGATTTAGGGTTTAGGGTTTAGGGGTTAGGGGTTTAGGGATTTCGGGTTTAAAATTTAGGGTTTAGGGTTGGGGTTTAGGGTTTTAAAGTTTAGGGTTTAGGGGTTTAGGGTTTAGGGTTCAGGGTGTAGGCTTCCGAGTCTTGGGGGGGGGGGGGGGGGGGGGGGGGGGGGG